CCAAAACTGAATACGTGTATTGCATACTCTAAAGCCCGAGCAGTGCCAAGTGCTACTCTAACCCGTGCATTCCATGTAAGCATCTTGCTCCTCTCATCAGCAAAGTGCAGCATATCATGCAAGCTGCCATTTCCAAAGTAATCATAAACCAGAAGACGTTGTCCATGCTCTGCACAATATCCAGCCAGCTGAACAATGTTGGGGTGCCTCAGGCGTGACATATTTGAAACAGCTTCAACAAAATTATCTTCCTCCTGTAGTGACAGTGCTGCATTGTCTATCTTCTTAATAGCCATAATCTGAAATAAATCATGCATCAGAACATTCAGTTCACCCTTAGAATTGTTTAAGAGGTAAGCAAAAGAACTATTTTTCACTTTCCGACAATTTGACATTGCCAAGTGTTGATGTCACAATTTCCTCATCTCGATGTTATGTCAGCTGAATATATATTTGTTATGTCACAATTGCCAAGTGTAATATATATTTGTTACTATGGTGAGAAAAATGACCAGATCCTATTCATCAGCATCAACAGCTCTTTAAAGCAAGCAGTTAATTATCCATATTGAGTGTGAATCTGAACTATTAAAAATGGGAATTCAGTTTAGACCATTATAAAGTTGCTATTTCCAAGCAGGAGAGTAATGAATTTCACTTGCTTAAATTGCATATTATTTGACCATTCAGCAACAAATAAAGAAATTATAAATGTACTCAGGTATGTTATAGCCACAAGAAAATGAGATTACCTTTCCATTGGGGAACTCTGCTCTGTACACACGACCAAGAGAACCTTCACCAACTAGATTTTCTTGACTAAAGCTATTTGTTGCAGTTTGAAGCGCAGCAACTGTATAAGAAGTGGCAGTTACCGGCGACATCATTCTTTTTATAGATCCATTTTTCCCTTGTATTCTTTCAACTGTCATCCTTTCTCCTGGCAGAGGCTTTAAATCAGCTGCTGAAACTGTAGACATTGCCCTTTGCTCTTGCATCTCCATATTCACTAGAAACAAAGCAGAGGATCAATAATGAATAAATTTTAATGCCACCTAAAAAATGAACATATATGAAAGCACAAAAAACATTCAAAGATATTTAGATTATTAGAAATATTTGTAAACAGATGAGGATCTTGAATCTTTAGATTCTCAATATATTGCAAAATTCACATAAAAGATAAAAGAAATAAGTACTTCATTACACCCACCCAGTTGGGGACCAGTTAAGTTCAGGTTGCCGGTAAACCAAATTTATGATTATCATTATGCAATATTATTACAATATAAGAATGGTTGTCATTACTCAGTTGAAACAACTAGAACAAGAAGTCAACTAGTAAAGACCTAAATAAAGTGGAATATGGTAAAAAGAAACAAGGTATAGTAGTGATTGAAGCTTTAGAAAGAACTACACGTTATAACAAGTTGCATATGACTACGCCCAATACCCAGAATCTGTTGATCTTTATTACTGCACATTACACCTTCAGAAAATATTAGATAATAATGTTCAATACTATCAGGGTGGTCATGACAGATAAAATTGGTTTGAGAGGTGGTATGATTTAGCCTAACCATATATTTCTTAGGAAAATTAACAGATAACTTTAAACAAACAACTCAGGCGCATGAGATCCTGAACCTTTGTGCAGAAAATTTAGAGCTTGTTTGGTAGAGATTAAAATCAGATTAAAATTGAAAAACTAGCCGTTATTGTTGACTTTTATTAGACGAGAGAGACCTAATAACAGTTATATTTTCAATTTTAATTGGATTTTAATTCCTCTCTATTAGAATTCCACATTGTTTGGGAAAATATTAATGATCCACTTAATAAGGTGAGAGCAATCCTCCCCTAATAAGCCGGTTTTCTTAGGTGGAGTTAGGCCCAATATTCTTAACATGGTATCAGAGTCCATTATGCTCCAACGAGCGATTCGATCCCGTTAAGACTCCAAAAAGTGAACACTTGGATTTCAAAATTGGTCTGCTCAAATGAGCCACCATCTTGCGGGGACGTGTTAAGGGATATAATCCCACATCGAATAAAGATGTTGACACAGACCAATTAATAAAGATTTTGGACTACTCCTCTTAATAAGGTTGACCTTTTAAGATGGACCCCCAAATCTTAATATGGTATCAGAGCTAGGCCCAATTATGCAATGTTGGGTGCCACCCATATCGATTTGTTCACAGTTGTTTGGCATGGTCCACGCTGTGCATGAGGGGGCGTATTAGAATCCCACATTACTTGGGAAAATATTAATAATTTACTTAATAAGGTGAGAGCAATCCTCCCCTAATAAGCCGGTTTTATTAGGTGGAGTTGGGCCCAATATTCTTAACACTCTCAAACAAGCTCTTAGTAGGAAAAGCTACAATCAGGTTTAATAAAGGAACCTGGAGTATTTTGAAGCAAAGCGGACTATTCTTTGTAGTTTGGAGAACATGAGAACTGACTTGTGTCGGTAGCAAAAGAGAACAAAAGCTACAATGAAATATATCAATATTTACACCAAACCTAAGTTGAACAGACACGGACATGCGACATGGAAACAAAATGACATGGACACGCCAACACATGATTTTTCGTAAAAGTAGAACGCAGACATGTCGATTTAAATTCTTTAAAATTTAAATTCATATATTATATCTTTATTTAGCATGTCTGACACTTTGAGTGAGGGGTATCTCTAAAGTATCCTTAGGTCAGCCATCCAAAAAATATAGAAAAAATGGGACAAGGGCACACAGGAGGAGTATGGGTGCATAGAATCAAACTATTATCAAAGACAAGCTACCATCCAAATATCAGGTCTCTATTAACAAATGAGAAGTTTCTAAACTAAATTATTATTGTGATGATAAGAACTGGCTACCTTTATCTGTGCTGACAGGAAGACTTGCTGCTGAGGGTGGTCGAGCAACAATCTCCTTCTTGTTGCCCCTTCGAAGGCAAAAAACAAGTGCAAGCATAACGAAGAGTACTGCCAGTGAAGATCCTATAACTATACCTACAATAGGTCCAGTACTCAACCCATTCTTTTTATTTCCGTTGTGTTGATTAGAAGGTGGGCCATCAGAATCCGGAGAATGACCACTAGGAGGAGAGCGATTTCTGTTATTGTGAGAGCTACCTGGAGGTGGCGAGGTGTACGGTGGTGGCGGTGGAGCTGGGCCATTGCTAAATGCATTTCCATCGTATCTGTTTTTGACATACAAGGCACACTAACAAAATAAGAGCATTATAATTACACGAAATATTGAAATGCATGCAATCACTCACATAAAATTAGGGACAGAGCTTAGTTCCTTTGGTATCCACCCACTAAATTGGTTGTTGGCAACATTTCTGCAGAAGAGAATATTAGTAAAAATATTTACATGATAACCTCAATGGTTTCAGGAATCCAATCAAGAGAGCAAAAGGGTGTGGGGAGATCCTTACAAGTTAGTCAAAGGCAAACCAACTAAGATGTTGAGAGAACCAGTAAGTTGGTTGTTTTGCATATGGCTGCCAAAAGAGAAATATTCAGACGAATTAAGCAATGAACACAGCGCACACAAAAGAGAAATGGAGAGAGAGAGAGAGAGAGAGAGAGAGAGGATAGAATTTAGTAAGTTATCATTTTGATACTCACAGAGTGGAGAGATTTGTCAAAGAATTGAAGGAAGGTGGAAGATCTCCAGTGAAATTGTTGAATGATAAATCCCTACAATGGCCTCGTATCAATGGATACTTCCAAACAAGATTAAAACAGATCCCTGGACACTAGTGCGGCTTTGTAATGTGAAATCATAATAATAACTACCCTTCAAAATACAATACCATGAAAGCAAGGTTTACCAGGAAGGGTTTTGGCATTAAGAAAATATTGCTTGCTTCAAAAAGGGGGCATTATTCTCCTAATTGTGCTGATCAACTAGACCACTTGTTAAAATAAATTTAGTCAAAGAAAACTGAATGAAGTTGCAGTTGAAGTTCTCATAAACGACAAACACTAAACATTGTTGTACTTTCTAATACAATATACTGTCTCATATTCAGATAGAAAACGTAAAAATGGTACTAAGATCTTGAAGTGTTCCTATTTTTCTTACTACATTTACCATTTGCATAAAGGATGACTAAAGTCGTGGTCATTCAATATATCAGATATAAATGGTTGTGCAGATTAATTAACTTATAATGCACCTGATGGAGATTCTAGGAGAAATATGATTAAAATAGAGTTTGATTTAGACTAAGTTTGATTGGTTTTTGATTAACTAGGATTTTGATATTTTATATGCTTGTGATGTATGAAAAGCTCTCATACAGTAACATTTACAACTATGAAATGGAAAACTAGGGCTTCAATTTACATACAATGGAAATTAATTATATATCGAGATTAAAATTTCTCTCTTCCAGATTCTCCACTTTTTCTTTCCCTTATTTTGTTAGTTCTGCATCAAAAAGACTAAAATAGGTCACAGCAAAGATGAGAATGTTCGAATCCATAATCTACAAGCAAAATAGAATTTGAAAGAATAGAACATAAAGATGGAAGATTTAGGAATCTAAATGGCCAAAATTAAGAAATGAGATTACAAATTTAACCCAGTGCCTTACAATGTTGCGAGGGCAGAATGATTGGCAAACATATCTCCAATCGATTGGGACAGCGAGTTCCGACTAATATTCCTAGAACCATGAATAAAAGGTTTAGGAGTTAGAAAATACAGGAAAACCATCTAGATCCGATAATGAATCTAGTTGTTTTAATATTTTAAGGGCGTAGAGGATATGCCACTCACAAATAGTTAAGAGAGGCCATACTAGATAAGGAATAAGGGAGGCTCCCACTTATATTGTTGCTTGCAAGGTTTCTGAAGTAAGACGGGAATAACATCAACACATGGATCATTGGAAGAAATACTAGCTACTGTACAAAGAAATGCTCCTCATAACATTACAGGTTTGTCAGGTTAGAAGGTAACTGAAACGGAATTGCATCGTGAATATTATTGCCACTCAAATCCCTATAACAAAAGAAGTAAATAAAAAATTCATCAACTCAACTTTGCCAACAACTTAAAAAATATTTTGACTAATAAGGGCAATGGAGAAAAGAGTTCTCTTACAGTGTCTTTAATGACATTAGGTTATTGAGCATGTATCCCATTGTTCCACTGAGACCCAACCCAGAAATTCGACTGTCATAAGATAAATAAAAATATTCAGCCCAAATGCCAACTGATTAAGCCCTCAATGTGCTTGTAATATCAATGGCTACAAAATTCCAAGAGAACATCACTCACACAGAGACAACAGCAGAACCCTGACATGTAACTCCCTTCCACGACTCTCCACAAGGATCACCACCACTAGATTTCCACCCAGTTAGCTGTGATGAACTGTTTAGTGAAGTGTACAAAACTTGAAGTCCTTGTACTGTCCATTCAGGCGAACACACGCCAGATTCAGTTGAACAGATATAAACATCAGACAATCCAATACTTAAATGACAAATTTACATTATTTATTGTACACCAAGCTAACACCATAAGCTCTCAAGCCTATACTGGAAAAAGCCGACCAAATGTATGAGAAAGAATGGCAGGTGGAGCTGAGCAAAATCTGATAATACAAAATCAAGATATGCTTTTGCAAGTGAGTCCCCGTTTTGACTTACATTGACTGTTAAGTGCTTAAAAAGCCAAACTATAAAGAGAGAGAGAGCTCAAAACTCCACAATCAACTCCAGAGTTCTATAAAATTACTAGTGGATAAAAATCTAGCTTGTATTTAGTTTTAGATTCATCATATTTAATGCAGCCTAGCTGCCAAGTCATAACAACTAAGAAAAAAAATTTCAAAAAACACCAAATCTCATATCCTGAAATTTTTGCAGCACATATATACAGAGAAGCACATGTACAAGAAACAGAAACAGAGACAACATGCATCAAGATATGTTGATATATGGACTTCACAGTCAAGGAATCACTTTTACCCAACAAATGATCAATTTGTAATTTTTTGGAATCCAGTGCTATAACAAGATTGGAAAATCCAATAGAGCTCAACCTCAATATCTAGACTATATTACCCAATCAATTTATGGAGTCATAAAGTTTACCTAATAATTCTATGATCACATTAAATCATTATTGGCAGCAAAATGTCAGCATATCCTATACTGGCAAGACCAAGACTCCTTCTTTAGTCCATTACTCTTTTCTATCTTCATCCTTCGGCTCAAAATCAAAAAGTTCGTTCACATTTAATTTTTCTCCAAAGTTAAATCATAAGATTCTCACTCACTCGCGCACGTATATGCATCACATCGCATCATCAAGACCGAGCACCTCAACGATCAAATCACACTAGCATCACTAAAAAAATAACACCAAACAGAAAATACATTAAAGCTTTACCGTCACTAGGATCAGTAGTTCCACCAACTACATCACTGAAACTAAAGATCACCGCAGAAATCACCACGAACGCAGCGAACAACGGAATACACCTGACTGTCACTTTCCTCATTTTCGAAATGTCAAATGGCTACAGTTAGTACAGCGCATATATGAGGATCAAACTAACTTAGAATTTTAAAATGCAGCGTCTGAATGAGAAAGAAGAGGAGGAGGAGCTGCGATCGGCTGCAGTAGGCGGCGCCATTGTTATAAAGCACCCTCTGAGATTCGAAGCTTCAGTGTTATTAAGAGAGAGAAACAAAAACCAGAAATAAACAAATATAATAATGAATAAAATACGTCGGCAAATATGGGGAAGTATAAACGAAATTAATTACTGGTTTTTTCAGTGATAATTGCCAAATTAATCTCCAACCTATTGTCTCTGTAACAAATTGATCCTCAACCTTTAAGAAGGAGCAAGTTCATCAAAACATTACATTCTAAAGGCACAATTACTTCAGTCACAGAAACCGTCCAAATCTCAAACCAAGTTTCTAAAGAGACACTCAGGTTAAATGAAACACTTATCTTTATAAAATCGAGTTATGTGAATACCATGCAACAATTTAACAAAATTTCGAACAATTTTCATCAGTGAGGACTCATGTGCAATTAAATAAACCGATTAATGAATAATTTCATACGATGTTGCAATTTTTCCATGTTTAAGGCCTGCTTAAGTTTCATTTTTATGTAGAATGCATTTTGAAATAGTAGATTGATGGAGAATGTGTAGTTAAACATGAAGGAAATTTTTTTTTGATTGTGTGTAATATATGACATTCTTTTAGTAAATATTTTGATAATTACCGTTTTTGAAATTAATTATGTAACTATAATGAAATGTTGAATGGTTGGCGGTTGTTAAAGATAATAGATTGGGCACATATGTTGCAACCATTCCAATTCCATGTTAAAATTTGATGAGTGACTTCTCTTGTCAAAGATTTCGATAGTTTCTATGTATTTGATTATACAACTTTGGGTAAAAATTGAAGACTAATGTGTTACTAAGAAAATAGATTAAATACCAATGTTGCAATTTTTCCATGTTAAAATGAAATTATTTGAGCAAAGTTTTTGGTTGAAAGTAGGCAAGCAAAGTATGCTCCGTCACAAATTTTTCAGGTCTTTTCTGAATTTAGAAGAAGCCGAGCAAAATTTCTGAATTTTTCCACAATTATTTACCCTTAGTGAAGTGAGGTAATTATGAAATTGCCACCATAGTATGCGTGTGAATGCCACGCCACCGACGTTGGTTCGAGTCATGGGATTCGTGAAAATGACTAAACTGTCCTTTTTTGTGAGAGTGAAATTTGGCCCACTTTTTGTTTTTCTTTTGACTTTGCATTTGTTTCACATTAGATTTTTTGGTGGGCTGTTTAGTCAAATGACCAAAAAGGACACATATTTATAAAAGTAATAATTAAATTAGCAGCATAATTTTCAGTGGTTTTAACATTTTCAAATTACAATGAAAGACTTCTATTTTTGGCACTTAAATATCTTTTTTTTTAATCTTATTTTTATTTTCAATCTTTCATTAATTAGCAAATCTCATATCTAATAATAAATTCCATCAAAAAAATCGTTGAGAGGACTTAAACCGACTTATTTATCTATCATGTTTCAAAAATAATAATATGTACAAAACTGCGTCAAAAATTTTTTTTTTCCCTCATTTCATATAATGCTCGACGTGATCATAACGACACACTCACATTTGGTGTTGCCATTTTTTAATGCATTTTTATTGCACACGGATCCCATATGGATCCTACCTTCATGTGAGTGTAAGTCAAGAAAGATGTCAAACCTCTTTTGACAAAAAAAAAAACTTTAATTCTAGGTGAAAATTGGTAACAATGCTCACAGATCATTGACCAAAATTACAAGGTAAGAATCTTTAAACAAAGAAGCATCATACGGTTCACAATAATTTATATATAAAATGATGGAGCATCAAGGAGACAAAAGGGAGGAAGTTGACTTGAGAATAAAGGCAGCATCTCAAATTTCCATTATACAAAAATATAAAGCAATTATGCTTAGATTCCTTTGGTCAAAATAAAATTTGTTTTTCCATTTGAAAAGGATTTATAAATAAATAGTTAAAAGTAAAAAGAGAAATGATGGATAAGTAACATGAGCAAAATGCAAAAATGATTCGCACCGTAACAATTTTTTTCCCTTTTTATAACTTTCAAGGCACCTTGAAAGTTGTTAATTTCATCTTGCTTTAATTTCTTTGATAAGAATTTAGTCAAATTTAATATAAGATACAATACGTATAGACACTGTAATCTTTGGTTTATGTTCTTATAAGGTGAGATTCTTGCTTCGTTCTTAGGATTAAGTTATATAGTGGAGACTTTTGTACAACAATTTTAGTAATAGGCGTGGCATTGAATTTTACCATCAACGTCTTCCTTTTAATGTTCTTGTCATGGATCAATCTTATTTAGGGATGGCAATGAGACGGGTATGGGACGAGTCGGTCATTTTCACCCCCATCCCATCAAGTATTTTTGTTACTTTGCCCCATCCTCATACTCGTTTAAAGTGGGACAGGGCGGGTCCCCTGCTCCATTTATTTTTTGCTTTTATTTTTTTTTATGTCTCTAGTTAATAAACATTATTATTTTTTTACCAATTTGTTTGAAACAACTTATGTTCTCTTTAAAAAAATGATAAATTTATTATTTTTGTTTGATAAAAAACTTAAATTTAAAATTAGTTTTAAACGGGACGGGTAGCGTGGCAAGGACTATTCGCCCCGTCTCGTCTCCACCTCGTACCCACTTCGGGGCCATGACCCTCGCCCCGAATGGACGGGTAATCATCGCCCAATTTGGGGTGGTGTCCCATGGATTTCAAGTTGAACGACTTTTTTTGCCATCCCTAATTTTATTTGATATCTTATTTTCAATTCCACTACTTATTTCTCTTGAAGAAATTCTTCATTCTTCTTGATTTGCAGCCATACTTCACAATGAGTAGTTACATTAATCTCCTTGTCTACTATCTAGTTACTTGAATGGATATAGAGACAACAAGAAGAGGAGAAAAATACACACTCGTGGAATACATGTCACTAGATGTAAAAAGGAGTTAATTATAAAGAGAGAGGGGCCCGGCATGGCAGGTCTAACTTTCCATCATTTGTCATTCATTGTTCCATTATTGCTTTCAACTAGTGGTGAACATAGTCCATGACTTGCCTGCCTATATTTTATCTAATATTTGGTCGGTGTATTAGGCTGTGAAAAAGTTTAAACAAACGAACAACAAAATATTATGTCGAGTTAATGTCGCAGCATTCGGCCAGTCTAAGAGAGTGGATGAATGTCACTCACCAATCTAGATGAAATTAGGTCAAGAACACAAACTCTTGCTGTCGCGCAAACGATTTGAGCCGCACTATATATTTAAATCTAAAGTCCTTCGATTCTTAATAAAATATAAACAGACACTAATTGAATAAAAGATTACAATCATAAATAAATCGAATTGTGCATCAGAATTATGGTAGTTCAACAACAAGATTTTAAAAATTAAGGTACTAGACTTTTTTATGTGCTACAAACTGAAGAGAGAGAGAGAGAGAGAGTAGGGAAAAATGGTATGATACTGTTTGTTGACTAATTGGTCCACCTGTTATTGTTAAAATTGGTAAAACATTACGGAAAATTGATTGTAATATAGTTAGTTGACTAATTGATCGATAGTAGATAATAGGCTGATAACAAAATCATTAGTTAATATTTTTTTAATATGTCAATAATTATAGGATCGTTTGACATGATTTTTTATTTTATTTTTGATATCCAGGTATCCCAACTTACACCAGACTATGTCCTGAACCACCAATCTCCGACCCCTCAGTGATGGGCGGAGGTTAACCGCATGATATGCCCAAATTGACCAGGGTCCGTGCACCCTTTATACTCCTGGTTCCAAGGGAGCCTTCCTCCTTGGATATTACATCACCAATCTGCTCCACCCAAATTGAGTATTAAAACACTCAGCTGCTCCATCCAAGAATCGAACTCCCCACCCTGAGGTTGCATGCCCAGCAATGCCCATCCTTTGCCAACTCGAATGTGCTCCGGGGGGCTGATTTCTATTTTTTGTAGATGAGCTTCTTGAGTAAGTTGCATCAGACCAATTTTCTTTAAAAAAATCTTCAAACGAGACAAAACACTTCTACAAAATTATTAAAATAGTTCCGAAACAATTTCTAAATTTCAAAAGCAACTTTTGACTTTTCAAAATTCTTATAAAACGAGCCCTATATATTTATCGTTAACTTAGAAATAAATCTATATAAACACCTTAGTAAGGTAATTCGAAGATGTTACGTAGCCAAATGAAGTGAAAAGTATTGTTTATAATACTGTTGAATGCTCCATAACCCAACATCGCATAAGTGTCCTACAAAAAGGCGATGATGGATGGACTTCTAAAAATTTATTTCTTTTAGGCAAATAAGGAGTAGAAGCAGAAAGCAAAGTATCTAAGTTGATGTCAGAACTCCACTTATTTTTGTCATTTTATGAAGTTTTGAGTGCAATTATATGGAGGAAAAAAAGGGTTCAACACATTTGCAATCATGAGCTGGCTCAACTCAATACACCTTTTGGATTTTGAGGTTCTTGATCTTGAAATTTGAATAGGATTCCACGTTACAATTATTTAAATTTTAATCCAATTATCTTCTATATAACTTAGGTCAAGGGTCTGTTTCGGATGGATTTTGTTATGATTTGAATTCAAAATTTGACCGTTGTATCATTGTAAGTGGGTCAATTTTAAAATTTTACCAAAGTATCATTTTCTAATAAAACATGAAATGAGAGTTAAAAGACGCAATTGCCATTTAACATAACTTAGTCAAATATTGCGGCTCCCTTACACTAACACAACAGTGTATAACAGCCGCAAATTCTCTCAAAATTTGATACAAAATCCCCCCACATACACTAAATGTCAATACATATAAGACGCACAAAAATGAACACACGGCAGTGATTAGTGTATTGTAGTGTTTGTTATCGTGCTAAGTTT